TGTCCTTCCAGCCAACATCTAAAAGATGCCTATATTTAACAGGTTCAGCATCCATACTAATAAGGTATGTGAGATACATAAAGAAGTATTTCACTCTTTCACTTAAGAATCAGTCTCCAGTCTGGCAGTGATGTTAGCTCCACCTTCCCACACCCCTGCCTGCCATACTACTATGATACTGGCTTCATTGTAAATCTACAAAAAGAATTTAACAGAAATAAATAGTGCTACTTTTACAACACCACTGTTCAGTAAGTACTCATGCCAAACTGTTCACTTTTAGCTTAATCATTTTAGCACATCAAAGATTAACCCTAATATCTGACAATAATGTAATCGATACAAAAAAGGTCAGAAGTCAAAGTCTTTGAGTACTTGGGGAAAAAAAACAGAAAACCAACAGAACTGGTCTTTTAATTCAGAAATGCCATCTGATGAGTCAAGTCACCATGCAAACATTACATACTTTCAGTAGAATTAAAATTCCAGATGGTAGGAAGAATGGACAGGACTGGAGAAAAAAATCGCAAATTAGCACTTAAAAACAACTGGATTAATCACTTCTCATCTTTAACATTACTGTGTCAATTATATGTTGAAGATATCAACTTCAAAAACCCTTGATTAGCTGTTTACTTCTGGAAAGACTTCTAAAAGTTGGTTCTTTAGCTTTTCTGCAATATAGGTCAATCAAGAACAAGGCAAATGTAATCTACACAATTTGTGTATCAGTTTTCAACCACAAGAAAAGGTGACCCAAGAAACTGGAACTGGGTAGAGGAAATGCTAAAAAAATGTGCTTTACGTTTACTCTTTCACCCAAACACAAGTTAAAAAATAAAAAAAATCCTGATTTCAAGTCCTACTGTCATAAACATCAGAGGCCTAAATGTTAAGCTTTCAAATCATCCCAGTTACTCTGTAGTATCCAATTCTATGTGGAATTCCTTATGAAATTCCTCTGTGCTCGTCATTAGTTTTGGATGCTGATTGAAAAGTATAGGAAAAATGTAATTTTGCAGCGCTAGGAGAAACAATGAAAAATAAACTTCATACACTCGGGTAACAAACCTGCCTTCCCTTTCAAGACAGGGGCACTGAAGACTGAAAGAGCTACGCAGCTGAGATGGTGTATTTGTTCTCACCTGAAAGCATACCTCTTCTGACAGCTACAGATTAACAATTGTCAGTTTGCTGGTTGGTATACCACTGCCAGAGCTGTTGTGACGGAGACTTCCAAAAAAAAAAAAAAAAAAGCAGCTGTTGCGTATTGCTTCATTTTCACTCAAATCCATAATGACAATTATTTATGCTCCCAAAGGCTACCTTGAAGTGTTTTAAGTTTTCAGAGCTGTTGCTATGAGCTGCTAGATCCTATGATAATACAAATATGCCCACTACCATTCTACTCTGATAATTTACAAATGTATGAGCAACAACCAAGGGTATCACTTTACTAGGTCTGCTGCGTGGTAGGGCTTCTATATGTATGCAGGAAAAAAAAAAAAAAAAAAAAGAATGTGTGCACGACATTACCCCTCCATTTGCAGGCACTGTTCACATGCAAGATCAGGGCAAGCACACATTTAAGAGTTACACTGTTTCTGTTCCCTTCCAATCCATGCACTTCTGGTGGAAGCTGCAAAGGACTTAAGTAATACCACACAACTTCAAAAAAAGCAAAGGTACGCCCTTAATGTGCTTCAAAACAATAATATTTACAAAATGTATCAGCAAGCACTCCATAATGATTCTTTTCTTCAAAGTAACAAAGCCAGAAGTCTTCCCCCAACATCGGGCAAGGTTGACTAAGCTGCTTGTACCAGCCATGAAATTCTTACAGACACTGTGGCTTTTAAGAAAACCAGAAAAATAACAAGCCCTGTTTAGTTTAATATGCCATAAAACATGAGCGGAACCACTGCAATTTATGAGGCTTTAAAAGCCCAATTAGCAGAGATTTTCACCCTAAGAGGAGGGCAGGGACCAGTACAGCCCTCCCCATTCACAGTATACACTGAGATGTTTCTACCCCCGGCTGAAGATGCCTGTTCCTCGAACATACCACAACAGAGAAGGAACTTAAGTCATTCCAGGTGATTAAGGTGAGCCCTCTGAACACATCTACTCAGTTAATGGCTTGAAAGGTTGCTAGAAGTCCAAAATATCACTGATATGATCCTCTAACCAGCTATTCAAGTATTGAGTGCTAGTTACAAATAAGGAATATGGATTAAAACATTGGCAGAATGCATATATTGCTAAGAAAAAACAAGCGTGTGGAAATAACACATTGCAAATCTGGAAAATAACTTTTCTCAGCTTCTCATTCTTCCTCTTCCCAGGAAGGTGGGAATGAACTCCATGACTGAGTACTCCCAATTTCTGCAGTCTCACTTACACCCACAGTACAAAGCAGGCATACTGCAGATACTTAGAGTGGAGCCATGACTATTACCCAGTTACTTTTAGCCCTGCATTTGGCTAAGTCAGATCACCAAAATTCATATTAACCTAAGGAAAACTCATTTCTTTCACCACCTCCAGTATGTTTATGGAAAAAAAAAACAAACCCAACAAACAAAAACCTCATAGGAACTAGGTAATTATGAATCTATTCAAACTATTTTGAGGCTGAGATCTTGCACAACTCGTTTTGACCTAAAGAGGATGAATCTCTGGATTCAAACTTGAAGAAGTTTTAATACTGTAATCACCACTTCTTAAAAAAATTCTAAGCAGATTTACTAGAAACAGACTGTATTGATAGTGTTCCACCCTGTGCACATCAGTATGAAAAGTTGCTTCATTTTCAGGTTTAATAGAAAGACAGTACAATTTCCCTATAGCCTGGAACTTCTTAGATAATTATTACAGTTATTATCATAGAAGACTAATAGAAAAGCAATGTATTTCTAATGTGCTGCAGTTACTATACATGCAGCACAAAGGCGTGGGAGCACCATTCTGAATCACCTTCCAACATTTTTGTTGACTGAATTTTACAAAAAGTTTTCTCCAAAGATTAAACTCACTTTTAGAATTAATTTCCTTCATTGGCATTCATGATTTTTATTTGCTCTTATTGAAAATGTATGTAGTAAAATTTCATTGGCATTTGTACCAAGAACTGGTTTCTAAGACTTAGCTTCATCTAATGAAAATTAAAGACATTACGTGGGATACCAGTATTGACCAAGGTCTCAGAATAATTAAAAAAAAATTAAAAAAAATCTGAAAGCTATGCTTTCTTGTAATTATTTTTAAGAGAAAAAGAAAAGGATTAAAAAAAAAATACATTCTCTAAGAGTTTTACACCCTGAGACTCCCTTCTCAATTACAATTTCCCACACTTGAGTAAAAACTATGACTTATATTTCAGTAACATCAAATTGGAAGAGTTAAAAGCCCCTCTTCGTTACTCAACTAAACAAAGGAAGGGCCTTTGGGGGATGGCTGGAATGGCTGTGAGGTGAGGAGACTCCAGGACAGTCTCACTCTGGACAGGGGCCTTTGTGATTTGGGGCATAGCTAGAATGGCTGTAAGATAAGGAGGCCCCGGGACAATCTCACTTTAGACAGCTGAGACAAGAATGCACCTAAGGACATCATATTTGCAACTGTGACTGATATATCCTGAGGAGCACAAAGAAACCAACAGACACCAATGGAGACCAAGATAAGGAACCAAGATAAGGAACTTGCGGAGATGAGCCAAGACAAAAGACTACCAGGGAAGATGACTGTGCATGCAGATCAGACATTTGCATATACTAATGAGGTCCAGGAATTCTCATGTTTATGTAAACTAGCTCTCAGAAATCCTATCAATATGTATAACTTTATGGTATATAATCTCTGAAAGTTTACCAAATCGTTGGGGCACTCATGGTGGAGCGATCCCCAGTGCTGCCCAGCGCTGCAAAGCATGCCTGCTTCATAACACTCTGTGGTTACTGAGTTTTATTATATCGGACTCCTTACCCAGTTGCACCTTGCTTCCCACTTCGGTGAGGAAAGTTAGAAAGCAAGAGGGTTTGGATGTTACCGATCTTTGTATCAAAATGGCTTGTCAGACAACGCAAATATGGAAAGAACCATAGAGAATAGCACAATAAATCTAGTATTAAGAGAAGGAGTTAAGGGAATCTTAACAGATAAGATATTGCATGGCCCTAGGAATTGAACTAACAGGTGTGACTCAAAGGTGCAGCTTAATGATTTGTTAACTATTCTGTAAATTAATCGAGGCAGGAAGTTTTGCAGCTCCTCACAAAGGACAGCCCCCGATAAAGATCGGAAATTGCCTTAAGGACCTGTTAAAACCTATCCTGAAGCAAGAGCCAGGGAGCAACTGAGTTTGCGCAAGAGCAAGACATTACTAGTGATGATGAAGAGGAGCCATCAGCCTTCATCTCCACGACCCCCGACGACCATCACGAGGAGGCACTGCACAAGCGCAATCAGGAGGAGTCCATGGAAATGACCTCTGGGAACTAATTTCAATACGAAGCGGGGATAGGTCATCCGTACTTATAGGCGTGCTGGGAAATCTCATGTATATATAACACTTACCTGTATAAGTTTGAAGCAGGTCGCCCCGTTGGGCGCGCACGACTTTGGTGGGGCTACCCCCGTGCTGCCCGGCGCCAAATAAACATACCTACTGTACAGTCTTACAGATTGTGGAGTCCGTTTTCCATACGTCAGTATCACGTAAGAACAGAACTGTAAAAAGCTTAAGCATTGCAGAGTAACCACCTGAACTTTCCAAGAGCACAAAACTGAGACAGTAAAAGCTACAACCTAGAGGAAGATATATCAAGTGTTTCTGCCTATTGTATATAATTTACCTTTGCTGGAAATCAGAAGCTTATACTGAAAGTGAATGTGCACACTTGAAATAAAAATTAAGAACACTGTTGGTTATCAATAAAGACACTGAAAAAATAATCTGCATAATTTACAGGACCAGAAAATGCATAGGCAATCTTGCTCACCTGTCTTCACTAAAACGTCGACCAATCAAAATTTTACATTTGTCTGGAGGGAGACAAGCTGCTAGCAAAGGTACCGTCCTTAACACTCGACTTTCCTGTGAAAAAGAAAAGTTACTTTTGAATAAAATCAAGGAGGCCTTCTATGAATTGTTCATGTTTCCATTTACTTTCAAGTTCTTTTGACTACAGACACAGAAAAAATCTTACCAGATAACACACAAAAAAAAGACCTACAAGAAAAAATACCCCATTTTGATGCATTCACATTGTATTGTTTTAATTGACAGTATTGAACTTAGTCTTAACTAACCTATGATCATCAGCATAAGTTTGGACTAGGCTATCAGTATCAAAAACAACAACAAAACTTCACAGAATAATACACAGTAGGCAAAAAACTGCATTAGTATTAATGGAATAGGTCTGGGAGCTAATGCTTCTATATTTGAAAATGAGGGGAGGGCTCGATTTCCACAAATAGGTGCTAAAAATAAAAGCATTGGGTATATCAGAACAGGTAGTGTGAAATACAAAGATCTCCACTCTGCTGTCACTTCACGGTAGCCAGGACAATAGCAACAACACTGCCACAAGTAGTAGGCCTCATGCCATTCAGGCTGTGTTGACAAGGTATCTACATACATCTTTGTGCCACCGATGAGGAAGGTGACTGCCACACCCAGGTGGGGAGCAGGGGCTCTTGACATCTCAAAGCGCATTAAAGAGAGCCGTCTTGGAGTAGGGCTTCAGAAAGTGGAGGAAGAGGCAAGTACTGTCAGCTGAAGCAAACCATCTACTTAACAAACAGAGAAATTTGTTTGTCCTTCATTTAACACAGTTGGGAACACACAAGTTTTTGTCTAGACAAGAATTATTGCAAACTGAGCTTGAATATTCAGGATTTCAATTTTTGTCTTCCCATCAAGGAAAAGGGAGCATACATTTATCTTGCATTTAATGAAGACAGCAAGCCAACACTGATATCTGAATGAAAGTTTCAGTTTATTTATTTAGCACAAGAGGAACACAGGAAGGTTATTAGCTGAATCTAGCAGGAGGCAAGACACTAGAGGTCAGGTGAAAATTACAAAAGCCCTAAACTCAGTAATAAATGAATTCTTACAATATTCTCAACCTGAATGTCTCATGATTCAGACAATGAAAATCCAACAATCAGTCCCTAAACCACAGCATTAATTAATGAAAACCCAGGGGGGTGTTGGTCCATCTTTGAATTTATGAGCCATATATCAACAATTGAGTATTTGTGAACACATAACGCCTTGATCAGCTCTCTCAGTTCTGAGTTGCTGTTACCTTCCACAAGTATCTATGTGCAGCTGCCTGCAATTCTCAGACTGTCTTGCTACCAAACTGCTGTTAAATTAGTTTTATGAAGACTTTTATCACTAGTGTCTAAAACCTTTATTAATTTTGCTTTTTCTGATCCATAGCTACTGATCCTCTATAAATAAAACTTTATGGAGTTGAAGGAGTAAGTTGTCCTGCTACATATCCATCACCACTTTGCACAGCAGCAGCAGCAGCATGTCTCCTAGGGACAGACGAAGATCAAAGCACCTGGGCATTGAAGTGCTAGCAAGCGGAGGGAGAAATATCCTTCAAACTACCATTGATTTCTTCTATCTCAGGAAAGCGGAGTAAGTCATCAACGGTGGTACAGTATTATTTGTCTTTATTTCATCATAATTAAATAACACTCCAATTCATTAGTCAGAAGACTCCCTTCATAAGAATGTAAGAACGGCAATAAAGGAACTGGAAGAAAATCAATTATTTGTCTCTGATAAGCAAAACCAAAAGAGCTATCATCAGTCAAGGGAAAGTCATTCCGCTGTTCCCTCCGATGTCATCTCATTATTTCAGAATTACCTTTCATAATGAATAAATACATTCTCTTACCAACAGGGAAAATGGAATTTTCCAACCTAAAAAACAATCCATGTTTACAGGAAGATAAAACATAAAATTCAAAGCTAAGAGGAATTGTTAAAGAACAGAAGCTTAAGAACAGCTAAATCAAAGTAACATTAAAAAAGGTTTCAGTCGTTTATGATTTTCTTCATTAAAAACCGTTTGTATTCAACTAGACTATCTATATCCTATTTGCTACCATATTGGCTATTTTCCATTTACTGGTTTGAAAGTGAGCAGTTACTCTCCCGTTCTTCTCAGTGTTCTAACAGCGATTTACAACTCTTTGTTCATTCATTATTTGACCACTGAAGTACATAAACAGAAATAGGACTGGAGGACTGATGAGGTGGGTTGACCTTGGTTGGCCTCCAGGTGCCTACCAAGCTCCTCTATCACTCCACCTTCTCAGCAGGACTGGGGAAGTAGAAAATAAGATGAAAATGAACTCGTGTGTTGAGATAAAGGTAGTTTAAGAAAGAAAAGCAAAGGCCATGTGTGGAACCAAAGGAAAACAAAAAGATTCTGTTCTTCACTTTCTATCAGCAGGCAATGCCCAGCTACCTCCTGGGAAGTAGGGCCTCAGCATGTTTACTGCTTGGTCCAGAAGACAGTTACCTTAATAACAAATGCTATCCCCCCACTCCAGCTTTTATTCCATCATACGGTACAGAATATCCCTTTGGTCAGCTTGAGTCAGCTTGTGTTCTGGCTATGTCCCCTCACAATCTCTTGCACACCCCAGGTTAATGCCCTTTGGAGGGAAGGTTTGGAGGGACAGCTCTGATGCTGTGCAAGCAGCGCTCAGCAGTAGCCCAAACACTGGTGTGTCATCAACACTGTTCTAGCCACCAGTACAAAGCACAGCACCATGAGCACTGCTATGGGGGAAGTAACTCCATCCCTGCCAGATCCAATATAACTTACTTTTCCATTTGATTTTTTTATTTTCTGGGAATTAGTGGTACTTTTGGTTACCATAGCTTTATCCATCTACAATGAACAGGACAGTTTCAACTAATAAAAATATTTATTAAAGCCAGCAGACATAAATTTCCTTCAGTTTTATTTATGAATTGTTAGGACAACTAGGAAAATTTTTTCCCTTATATTTGATTCATACTGTTCAATAGGAATAGTATACAGAAGAAGGATTATAATGAGAAAGTCAAAGCCAAGTACTGGCATTTGCTTATCAGAGACAAATGTGAGTGGCATATAAATTCATTAAATACACACAATCTAGCTTTCCTTCTCAGATTTTTAACATTGAAAATTCTTACACTTATAGAAAGAAAGAAGGCAGGGAGCAGAACAACCTAAACAGATAACTGGTATGCTTTAAGGGTTCTGTCCTTATACCTATCACTCAGGTTTTGAAAAGTACATAATGGCCTACACTCTGCTGGAGATCACTCCAAGGATGATAAAAGGCAAAAGTAAGACAAATGTGTACAGGGGTTTGTACATCTAGCTATGCCACTAACCTGACAAAAGGTTCATAATAGTAGGCATGAGAAAGGAAAAATGACAAAACTATTTTATTTACTTTTGTATATATATATATGTGCAAAGAAGAAAAATAAATTAGGCTAGGCAAATAACTGCTTCACCTATCCACTAGTCCTGATGCTGGGTTTCAGATACTGGATTTATAGACACCGTTTTTATATAATTGGATTTCTATATAACTTCTAAATTACTCGTATTATGAACAATGGTACACTAATACTACTCAGAAAACAAGTGTTTACCCCTTGTCATGGAACGCTGAATTCTCTTCAAATTCCTTCATAAACAAAAATCTAATTAATTCATGGACCTGTTATGCAAAATGGAAGCCAGATGGTAGGATCCCTCCCCTGGGATCCACTGCTCTGCAGTAAGTGACTCCTTTCTTTTTCATAGTACCCGATACATGCACAGGTCCATCTGGCAGCATGGCCTCTGGATAGTAAGAATGTGGAGACACAGTCACATTAATCAGAGCACAGGAAATGTTGCTCCTGACTTCCTACATTACTATCTTGCCTGAATATATGTTTCAACAGCATCATTTGACCATAGCTGGTGGTCTTCTCTGCACTGCAGACTTCCAAAGCAAATAAATAATGAAGCAGAGAGAGGATGACAGTTGGCACTAATGTGCAGTAAAGACATTCACTGTACTTTTGACACAGACTCTTAGAGTGTATCTGTGATGAAATGGCAGACTGAAGGATCAGTAAAGTCCAGAAGGTTTATCTGCCTTCAGGATTGACTGTATTTTGAGTATGAGCAGGTACAGCAAAGGGAACCTATCTTTTGTCAGGTATGCCTCTGTTGTTCTGGAGTAAAAAGCATCACCTGTGATCACCTAAGACAAATACTTCCAAAGATCATTGTAAGATATTCTTAGCTTCCTACCATTTGTTTGGATTTCTCTCTGACAAGTAAGTGCCCTCATATAGTCAGATAGTTAAATTTTTCCTCTCAGATGGATTGTCTTCAAATATAGTGGTCTTCCAGTACTAGTTTATCATGTGAATTATCATTACATAACATATACTAATGGAAAAGATGCACCCTGTTGTAACAGACAGTTGCTGTGATTGCTGATCAATAAAAAGTGTAGATGGCCTTTCAGAAGGACAGAGGAGTGGTGTATGAAACCTAAGAAGAATCTACAAACTTTCTCTAATACCTTCCACCATGAATAAGAAATTCAACACAATTCAAACGTTAATTCAAAGTTCTCTGGCACATTTTAAAACCTCTTTTTTCCAGCAAGTGACTTAAGTATATACTTAAGTACTTTTGAAATAAGAAGTAACACAAAACAGTATTCTTATTATAAGTAGCCAATCAAAAATCACAGGTTTCCCATTTACGGACCAAATACGTCACAGCTTGTTTTGTTTCTCTGTGAGAGAACACTCTTCTCCAACTTACTCTTTCACATTCTGCTTAAGTTCCTTCAGGCAAAGACTCTCTGCTTGCTGATTGAGCTAATGTATGCTAATGCTAAGTAAACAGCTGGACCAGAAGAGTATAGGTTTCTGAACTTCACAGTCTAATTTGTAGACACACCATCTATCCAGATCTGTGTAACTGCAGTCCAACTTCTAAAATCCTTATGATCCACCACCATACTCCATTGTTAACAGACAAGAAAACAACATAAATTCTCCTATTAGGTAAACCAAAACATACTGTTCCAGAGCTAAACAGCTACGGCCATCACTAAGAGGAACTGCTTCATTCGTATTTTTAACAGAACACTAACATCAATAAAAGACCACTGCTATAATCAAAACACACTTCTCCCTGGGTCAACTCGGAGCACCTCTGTGAGAGACGACATCAAGACTAATTCTTGCAATTTGTACCAAGGCAAGTAGACTTCAGATTCTAGCAGGACTATTCAGATAAGAAAAGATGTCTTGTGTGCATGGAAGTTGAAGAAATAAGGTGTGATTTCAGAAGATACAGTAATTCAGAAGAAGTGAATAAACAATACAGTAAGTCATGTGTACTGGCATTTCAATCATCAAGTTTAAAAGGAAAAATCATTATATGATGTTAACAGCATAGCTGTTTCCTCTTGCCTATCATTTGCTGCATTAAGATTCTAGCTGAACTCCAACAATTACTACAGCCTTACTCACCTCTGCTGGATGCTGAATTATATACAAGCAGGTGGAGACCTTTAGCGGATGTATTGGCAGGAATGGACATAAACACACCTTCTGAGGACGGCTACATGACAGAAGGGAGTGAGAGAACAATAAAAGTAATCAGCAATTTATGAAAGATGGCATAAATATGTTGCACAAATACATACCACATCCCAAGAGGCCCACTAAGAACTTCCCCTTGCTGCACAGTGTATTAAACCTGATGCAATTTTCTGTTTGAAACTCCTTCTGTTTCTAAAAATAAAGAAGCAAGGTGTCCAATGAAAGAGTTCTGAGAACAGTGTTCAGACGCCTCCTGTGGTCCGGTTAGGACTAAAGCACTCTAAAAATCCTTTGATCATTTTCAAGAGAAGCAACTTATTAGTATCCATATCCCAATCAGAGAAGGCTGTTATTGCTTTTCATACCAAGTTAGTGTCTCAAAAAACTGATAAAATACTGTAATAGAATACATAATATTTATAATCAATATTCTATTTATAATAGATTAATTACAATAGAAAATTGTACCAGAATACACACACAAAACCCCAGACATGCTATATTTATGATTCGGTTCATTTTTTATAACTCCATCTATACTGAAGTATGTAGTAGCCGTGTAGTATGAAAACAAAAAATCCTTATCAGGAGCTTCTAATTTAAGTTTGAAAAAAGAAAATGAAAATAATTTAAAATTCTTTGGTGTACCACAGGTAGCTGTTCAAATGACTAGCAGAATAATTGTATCTAAAGAAATGAACTTAAATATTGCTTGGCATGAAATTAATATGCTGAATGACGAACAATAAACAGAAGCAAAGAATTAAGCTCGAAGTTAAAGAGTAACAAAGTTGTTATACCAAAACCACACACACACGCATATGCACGCACAGAAGTCACTATAGCTACTCACATGATATTCAATAACTCAGAAAAATGAAGAATTTCCTTAACAGTGAAGCTATTACCAGTATTCACCACTTAAAATCATACTGTCCCTGCAAACAGAGCTCTCTCAGCTTAAAAAACACAAAGTCAGCATTATCAGCAGAATGTGACTCAAAGCACAACTTTACCTGCATGCTCCTTGTAATGTTTATTAGTAACAGTTTATATGTTGGTCACACATAAGAGACAGTAAGCAATCACTGCAGCAGATGTAATTTACAGAAGTGAATTCTGAAGACACGTCCAGATCAGGTTCATGGTGAGCCCAACCGACACTGCACTTGCTTGTCTACAAGAGCACACACCCAGCCAAGTGTACCAAGTAATGTTACGGTAATCCAAGCCACTATAACCATTCCCTAGTCAAACATTAGTACTTACCAGTAAATGGCGAAATTATATCAAGGCAATAACAATAGACAAGCTCCTCTTTAACAGTTGACAAGTTGTGTTAATTTAAACTCCCTAGCTCTAGTCCCAACTACTGAGACGCAGAGACTATTCCCTTCTCCACAGGGTATACAGTTAAAGGTTACCCAACAACAGTCTAAATCCAAAGCGGCAGGGGGACTGTTGATGCAAAGGAAGGAATTGGTACTGATCAAAATAAGCACTGAAAAAAGTATTTTTAAATATTTACACTAAAAGGCCCATGGCCAAGAAATCAGCCTAATGACAAAATGGAAGTTATTCTTATATACTCTTCTGGTATACTGTTCCAGTCGTCTGCTGTCTGTCTTTCCTTTGCACTTCTAGCGCTGGCCTTCTCCTGTTTCTAATCCTGTATAAATTTGGCACATTCTGTTGTATCAATGGACAGGCCTTGAGCCTAAAATCAAGCACTCATTAATTTCACTAAATTCAGTGGGCTATTCTAGGGACCTTCACTGTGAATGAAATGAAACCAGGCTCACTTCCAGGTCCGGGGAGTCTAATTTCAGAAGTTCTCCAGTGCTGTACCACTGTCTTTTTTCCAAAATCAGGTTTAGTGGAAACTCAATTTTGTACTAAGTGTGATTCCTTAGTTTCTCTCCGTTACTAAATGGCTGGTTTCACTAACAAGAGAAGTTGCTAAAGCTCTGCCCGTTATGGCCTTTATTTTCTACAGAGAAGAGATTAAGGCATGAAAATCTACTATGCAAAGCTGTTCCAAAACAGCTAGGTGGTGACTTCAATCCAAACAGCTGCATTGTTCACTAGCTTTTATAAGCAAACGGAAACAGTTTCTGGTGATTTTTGATCTCAGGGTGTTTAACTATAACAAAGTTGGCTAAATATAACTTACTTATTTTCAAATTTCCTTTTTGTATATGCTTTTTGTAGTTCCACACTGGCTTGGATTTTTCACGGGTAGTTTTTTAAGCTTTGTTAACCTCACCAAAAAAACCCCAAACAAACCCCAAATCAAAAAAGGAAATTACCAAGAAAGTAAGCATTTTCAAATAGTTATAGAATAAACTCTACCTACAATTCGATTTGTAGTGAACAGAGCACAAACCATGACAAATGAAATACTTACAATATAATTTAATTATGTACATAGGTATATACATTACTTAACTTTAAGTACCCAGTTAGGTACCTAATTATATTGAATATGTAGTTTTACAACCCTGTCCTGGAGGCACAAGACTTATTTCTGTACTTTTACTTCAGTACCTAATTGTTGTTGTGCGGAGAGCAAAAAAACATTATTCTTATGTGAAACTGACATTACAAGCCTACGTCAGTCAGATAGGAAGCACTACAGAGTAAGAGAAGTTCTGTTCCACCACTGCAAAAGCCTTCTTTGCTCTGAGAAAGGCCACCTACACAGAAAAGGATTTTTGTCTTTTCTTTTGTTTAAAGATTCTGCAACAGTCCTGCCCTACATATGCAGCTGATGTTACAGAAGAGTAGGGGCAGCATCAAGGAACCTATTTAATGATGAACATCAGTTTTCTCCCATTTCTGGAAATGAAAGTAGCAATCTGCTCCAGGCAGAAACGGTAGTAGTCAGCATATTAAGGAAAAGGTTTGTGGGTGGAGATTAGGATTTGAAGGAGAATAATTTTTACACTATTATCCTCCTGCATGCAACTTCACTACAGTTCAAAGCTGTGATAAATAATACTGTAGTTTTGCTTAAGCCATAACAGATAGGTGGTCGGAGAGAATATAAGTTTCCAGGCACCCAAGTATGGGGACGGAGACAGGGTAATGTGTATTCGGGTATAGGGTTAACTTGCTTTGGCTGACATCACTTACCTTAGCCATGATTAGACCCTACTTGGTTGTCACCTTCCTGCCCTTATATGGAAGAAAGAGAGGATTAACTGTCAACTTGGGTTTGCAATATAACCAAAACAACAGTGCGCAGGCACCAGAATAAGGAGTTCAACTGAGAGGAAGACTTTGAGCCTTCACCCCACGACCCTCAAAGACGACCCCCAGAGAACAGTGCGCAGACGCAAGTGCGAGGGTATAGATGTAAATAACTTCGGGGAAATAATTTGAATATGTATAAGACTTCCGAGAAATGGCATGAATATGAATAGTTGTCCTAAGTAAATATGCGGAAGTTAGACTGATCAATGTGCATGCAGAAGGATCAAGGAGGTGATCTCCCATGCACCCAACGCTGAACTAAAGCTTTGCTTCACAGACTTTGTCCTCTCTTAAAAACTACATAGGTGAATGTTTCTCACAAATTTGGGGGCTCATCCAGGAGCAGAAGCTCCTCCCGTGTGAAGTGGGGCAGGATGCAGGAGAAGGTACGCCATGCTGATTTCAGCTGTCTTCGGCTTACTGCCGTGCTTCATAAGGAGACAGTGGTAAAATGACCTGGACAGAGGACTCTCGAAGCAAAGGGAGGGTGAGGAGTATATTTATAAATTAAGACATTTTACACACAGCAGCTGACAATTTCTGTTCACGGAACCCGGGTAAGAAAATTGACTGTTAAGTATTATTCAGGTGGCTGGGATTACAGGACTGAGAGTTTATGAGTGAGACGCAGGAGTTTCCGTTGATGCGAGTGTGGAGTCCTTCTAACCGCGGTTCTGTCCCTCTGCAAGGAGATCGGCCGGTGAAGGGACAAAGTGAATACTGAGTGAAAGAGGTCTCGTGGGAAAGAATGGGAAACCGAATGGGTAAGAATGGTTAGGGGAAAAGGGAGGGGTTAAAAAACCCTACCTCGAGCATATCTCCCAACAGTCCTTTAGAGAGAATGCTCAAAAATTGGGAGCAACAGGGGATATCTTGCACCCAGGGAAAAGAAATTGGGGGCAAGAGAGGTTATCTTGCACACAGGGAAAAGAAAAGAAAAAAGATGATCCAATGTTGTATGTTCCAATGGACTAAGGAACGTATACAACCTGATTCATTACATTGGCCACCATATGGGCCATCAGAAAACTGGGTTTGTCAAGCATTGAACCTTTATGTGAATAGTAAGGAACCTTTTAGTCAAGAAGAAAGTGACTATGCTTCCTGCTGGAAAGGAAGTGTATCACTCTTTCTTTGTAAACACTCAGGGAAAAAGAACAATAAAGATAAAAAGAAGGAAGGGGGGTGGGAACCTTCAGAACACTTACCTTTACCTCCCCCTTACAATCCTGTAGAGGGACCTAGTGCCCCCCTGGGAGATAATGAAATTGAGGAGGAAGGGGAAGAAGGAGGAGCTATGGTCGGACCACCTACTCCACTCTCTCAAGAGAGTGGGAGGGTCCAGATCACTGAATTGGAGCAACTGAAGAGAGATATCCAAAATTATCTGCTACCAGGACCAAAGGTAGTTAGGAAAACAACGGCAGAGACAACCGCTATGTTCCCACTTCAAGAAGTGCCTATGCCAGGAGCTCTGGGTGGGGTGGGACTTGTAAATGTGCCTCTCAGTAGTACTGAGGTACAGGAATTTAAAAGGGAAATGAAGAAGTTATTAGAAGATCCCCTAGGTCTATCAGAACAATTGGATCAGTTCTTGGGACCTAATATTTATACCTGGGACGAAATACAGTCCATATTGGGGACTCTGATTTCCCCCGAGGAAAGGCAAATGATTCG